CCCAGATTTCCTGTCATATTTTTTCCCTACGGGGTTTTTTTCGGCAGGTTTTTTCTGGCCCCCGTCTAACCACTGTGTCTTGTTAGTGGTTGCCCAGCTCTCGTTATTTTCCTAGCTGCTATTGGAGGGACTTAGAAGATAGTGTTAGATTTCCATGGTATTTTGTATTAGATTACTTATTGTACTCTGGTGCTCGGCCAAAACACGCAAAATAAACCTAATGGTTCATTATGTGCTCTGTCTGTTGCGTAGTGAAGCTGAAATCATAATGCTACACAAGGTGCCCCACGCATATCTCGCATACTTTATCTGCAGGCGGATAGATCATAGTGTCGCCTGTATCGCAGAGCTTCGGCATTTTCAGCCGAATGTCGTATTAGGAAAGGTCAGAAAGGAGCTGAAAATGGGTCGCAATTACAGTTATTTAATATTTACATTTGTCAGATAGTAACAGGAACAAAATAACAAATAACAGAAGAATAGAAAAGAAGTAAACGGCTTCGAAAGAAGTGTACAGTGGTTAAGGGAGCGTAGCATTCATAGCTAACCACCGCAACATGAATAACACTGCTAAAAATAGTTTTAATCATTACTGAGCATTGTTTGATACATACGAAGTGGCATCCATGTTTAGTGTAATTTTGTTAATGCCGATAATCATTGTGCGCACTCAGACGAAATGAAAATAACAAATACATTTCAATTTCCACGCTTGACTATTATCGATTTCTCTATGAGCTCCTCTTACTATACAATAAGCTGCAATATTTTTTTCTCTAACATTGCAAAATCGTCCGTAACTCACCCAATCATTATCTTTGCAACCATTTTAATAAATTGTAGGTTTCTGATTTATATTCTTGTTCCAGTCAACCTCAGCATTGTTTTTAATGTGCCTTTTCTTCTGCTCTTTACTATTTGTACAATTTATGTACCGCATAGTCTGCTACACAGCCGTTTTTAGTGTCGTCACGCAACGTTCCTCCCTACAAGGAAGGAAGGAGGGAGGAACGTTGCGTGACGACACTGAAAACGGCTGTGTAGCAGACTATATACATCACACTCTAGATTACTTTTGTTGACTAGTCAATTGAATACAGTTTGGAGTGCGTATTTGTTTTATATAGACACTGTCCACCTAGACTAGCCTTGCTATTTGTGGGCAGTGAGAAAAGAAAACTGTAAATCTGAATTAAACAATAAAATGAAAATGAGTATTACAAAAATTGATAAAAAACATTTCGAAATATCATAATACTAGTCTAAAGCTACCATCTGCACTATTGCGTCGGACGATTTACACTTTCAATTCGTATTGCTTGTCTCTGATGCAAATACTGATCGTTCACTAAAATTTAAGCTGCAGTGCCTTTTGTCAGAACAAGGATTTCACCACTCGAACTTTCAAAATCAGTTTCGTCTCCGGTAGGATAAAAAAACTTTTTAATTTTTCCATCTTCTGTGCTGACTGAGCACGGAATTTTACCACCAACCCTTCCAAGGTAAAGTGATCCTTCAGTACCACTTACTCCAACAATCACGGCGTTAGGAGGTATGGGATCGCCACTTTTAACTCGATAAAACTGATGGCCAGTAGCTTGCAGGATTTCACCAGATGTCACAGGGAGCTTGTACACCGTATTCGAATTCCACTCACTGCACTTATTATTGGTGGTGACAGACACACCACATGGCTCGCCATTCACCAATCGACCAAAATACTCTACTTCCGAACCGCTGGATGATTTGATGGCATTTGTCGGAATATCATCACCACCATATGCTCTAATTCAAACTGGCTCAGGATTAACCTGTCTAAAACTACAACTAACTATCTCGGGATACCTACATAGATGGGGTGGTGGTATATAACGAATTCTGGCAAACAGGCATCCAAATTTGTGGAAATCGACTTCTTCATCCATAGCCCACAATTCTGACCGGACATACAAAGAAGCGTACATAAGGGTTCCTCCACTGCTACTACAAGCCACAGTTGCAAATGACACTGTCTCTTGAGGAGGAATCAAGCGAAAACCCCATCGTAGTAAGAATGTTTGAATATATGATTTATCCATTTCGCCCTGTCTCACCAGCGAGTGTAATTCTTGATGAAACTTTGGGTTTACAGAAGAAAGTTCTTGAGGCTTCAACCTCACATAGACATTTTCGTGTGACTGATTGGTCACGTAAACGTCGTACATGGTAATCTGCAGTACCCTGAAAACAAAGACAACTTAACTGTCAACTGGTTTTATAGAACTCTGATTAAATAAAACTGCGATATTGAGTTGATTAATTTTTAAGATGAACTATTGTTTAACGCTGTGTCTATATGTCTGCGGTAACTGATGAAAGTCTCTAAAACAATAAATGACCGAAAGTCCGATGTTTTTTTATAAATTTGACAAATTGAGGAAGCTAGACTACGAGCAGTCTCTCTTTTTTCTGTAGTCCGTCGAGCAAAACGTGAGACACGCAAATGGCCACGCGCGTGACTGATGGCGCGAGACGGGAGAGGCTCCCGCGCGCGTGCTTTGCTTTCACTAAACCTGAAGAAAAAGAGAGACTGCTCGCAGTCTAGAAGAAGCCGGCTACCAAATGGAACTTTCATATTTGGTGAAATGATCCTGAAGTACTTGGGTTGCGCAAACAAAAAGCGTGTTTTGTGACACTTAAAATCTTTTTCAGGTGGACTTCCAGAAACCTTGACGTAGCTGATAATGAGTAATGGAATTGATCCAAGCTGAGTGCTGAAGAAGACGCCTTAAATGAAATCTGTACCGTATAAAAACTTACTCTCCTCTGCAGCAAGTCTTGTGATGTTACCCAATCCCCCTCTACACGGGTCTGAGTAACGACACTAAGAACGGTTAAGTAGGAGATCTAGACTAACACATACTTGATTACTGAGGTTCTTGTCGAATCCTAACTGACAAGGCCTGGTTACATTTCTGCTCGATTGCAGATTGGCTGTAGGCTGCTCTGATTGGCATTCTTCGTTCTCTCTTTCACTCTAAAAAGCGAACGAAATACAGTGCAGTAGGAATTAAGCAGTATGCCAGTGCCTTTTTTTTTTTCGTTTTCAAGCAGGCGCCGATACCTCGCTGTTTGCGGAAAAAGAAAAAGTAAAGCATTGCTTCCAGCTTAGAACCGGAGCAAGATTTGTGTGAAATTAATAAAAGGGGCCATACCGTCAAGGCCTCAAAGCTATATCGTCAAACACCGCAAAATATATTTCAAGATAATTAATGTAGGCACCGTTAAACAATTTTCTAACCGTGGATTGCGCGTCTCTTGGTCAAAGAAAAATACAAAAACGTGGCTGTGGCTGTTCTACGAGACCTTTAGAATTGTAACCTGCGATTTGACTTTTTCTTTTTATCGCACATGTTTACCAGAAAGAAATTAACCCTCTCCCGATAGCAAAATAATAAACTTCTAACATTCAATAACTTGTTTCCGTCATTCTCGCTAAAACTTATAGTAGAGCTGTGACGACGGCTATCACATTTTCCCTCCAAATGACGCTGGCTTACCCGCCTGCATAACCTAGTATTGAAAAAATCTCGTTCTCCAAGGCGTCCACGTCGTAGAATCTAAAGGTCTCTACAAACTGCCAAGGAACATTTATCACAGGTGGGGTACACAATGCTACACAAGGTGCCCCACGCATATCTCGCATACTTTATCTGCGGGCAGATAGATCATAGTGTCGCCTGTATCGCAGAGCTTCGGTATTTTCAGCCGAATGTCGTATTAGGAGAGGTCAGAAAGAAGCTGAAAATGGGTCGCAATTACAGTTATTTAATATTTACATGTGTCAGATAGTAACAGGAACAAAATAACAAATAACAGAAGAAAAGACCAGAAGTAAACGGCTTCGAAAGAAGTGTACGTGGTTAAGGGAGCGTAGCTTTTATAGCTAACCACCACAACATGAATAACACTGCTAAAAATAGTTTTAATCATTACTGAGCATTGTTTGATACATATGAAGTGGCATCGATGTTTAGTGTAATTTTGTTAATGCCGATAATCATTGTGCGCACTCAGACGAAATGAAAATAACAAATAAATTTCAATTTCCACGCTTGACTATTATCGATTTCTCTATGTGCTTCTCTTACTATACCATAAGCTGCACTATTTTTTCCCTAACATTGCAAAATCGTCCGTAACTCACCCAATCATTATCTTTGCAACCATTTTAATAGTGTACTTGTAAGTTTCTGATTTATATTCTTGTTCCAGTCAACCACAGCATTGTTTCTAACGTACCTTTTCTTCTGCTCTTTACCATTTGTACAATTTATATACTGCATAGTCTGCTAGACAGCCGTTTTTAGTGTCGTCACGCAACGTTCCTCCCTACAAGGAAGGAAGGAGGGAGGAACGTTGCGTGACGACACTAAAAACGGCTGTGTAGCAGACTATATACCGCAAAGCTATTTCGAGAAAGGTTGTCGGAAGAAGTGCACGCGACAATCCCGAAAGGTGTTGTGGGTGGTTTTGAGTTCACTGTTCTTCAAATAAATTTGAAAGAATGGCAGGAGAGGCCTTGGACGTATGTTTGCGAGTGCTCAAGGAAAGCAACAAAAGTAGGTTCAACAGCTACAGTGTCAGGAACAGTGTATTGATTATATCCCATATTACCTTTCGGGATTGTCGCGTGGACATTTTTTCCGACAACTTTTCTCGAAATAGCTCTAAATTACTTTTGTTGACTGGTCAATTGAATACAATTTGGAGTGCGTATTTGTTTTATATAGACACTGTCCACCTAGACTAGCCTTGCTATTTGTGGGCAGTGAGAAAAGAAAACTGTAAATCTGAATTAAACAATAAAATGAAAATGAGTATTAAAAAAATTGATTAAAAGCATTTCGAAATATCATAATACTAGTCTAAAGCTTCCATCTGCACTATTGCATCGAACGATTTACACTTTCAAATCGTATTGCTTGTCTCTGATGCAAATACTGATCGTTCACTAAAAATTAAGCTGCAGTGTCTTTTGTCAGAACAAGGATTTCACCACTCGAACTTTCAAAACGTGTTTTCGCTCCGGTACGATAAAAAAACTTTTTAATTTTTCCTTCTTCTGAGCTGACTGAGCACGGAATTTTACCACCAACCCTTCCAAGGTAAAGTGATCCTTCAGTACCACTTACTCCAACAATCACGGCGTTAGGAGGTATGGGATCGCCACTTTTAACTCGATAAAGCTGATGGCCAGTAGCTTGCAGGATATCACCAGATGTCATAGGGAGCTGGTACCCCGTTTTCGAATACCACCCGCTGCACTTATTATTGGCGGTAACAGACACACCACATGGCACGCCACGCACAGATCGACCAAAATACTTTACTTGCAAACCGCTGGATGATTTGATAGCATTTGTCGGAATATTATCACCATCATGTGCCCCAATCCAAACTGGCTCAGGATTAACCTGTCTAAAACTAAAACTAAAACTACCTTTTGTGTTCACGGTTGGCGGCGTATAATAACTTCTGACAAACAGGCATCCAAATTTGTGGAAATCGACTTCTTCATCCATAGCCCACAATTCTGACCGGACACATAAAGAAGCGTACATAAGGGTTCCACCACTGCTACTACAAACCACAGTTGCAAATGATACTGTCTCTCGAGGAGGAATCAGGCGAAAACCCCATCGTACTAAGAATGTTTGAATGTATGATTTATCCATTTCGCCCTGTCTCACCAGCGAGTGTAATTCTTGATGAAACTTTGGGTTTACAGAAGAAAGTTCTTGAGCCTTCAACCTCACATAGGCATTTTCGGTTTGATTATTGGTCACGTAAACGTCGTACATGGTAATCTGTAGTACCCTGAAAACAAAGACAACTTAACTGTCAACTGGTTTTATAGAACTCTGATTAAATAAAACTGCGATATTGAGTTGATTAATTTTTTAGATGAACTATTGTTTAACGCTGTGTCTATATGTCTGCGGTAACTGATGAAAGTCTCTAAAACAATAAATGGCCGACAGTCCGATGTTTTTAATAAATATGACAAATCGAAGAAGCCGGCTACCAAATGGAACTTTCATATTTGGTGAAATGATCCTGAAGTACTTGGGTTGCGCAAACAAAAAGCGTGTTTTGTGACACTTAAAATCTTTTTCAGGTGGACTTCCAGAAACCTTGACGCATGGCAGTCGACCTGAAAAAGGTTCTGAATGTATCAAAACATCATCATGGTTTTGTTTTCTGACCCCTGCCTAAACCAAAAGCTAGACTTGAGGTCTATAAAGTATTCCGGAATCGCCTGACTTTTTTTAATAGACAAATGTTACTTTGGATTGGCAGCCATTCTTCGATTTGGCAAATTTATTTTCGGGGATATGAAAGCGGAATCATGAATCATAGTTACAAAACATGTAAGAATCATGAATCTTTGTTTTAAAAACTTGGGAATCATGAATCTTTGTACTTCGGCTCGGGAATCATGAACAACGAGACTCTGAGAAAAGCTCAACAAAATACACGTATGAATTAATTGCGTCCGCTCCAGGGAATGCAGGATATGGCGTTTCCGAGAGTCTAATTTTCAACCCCACTATATAATTCGTGCACTCGGGGCTGACAGTCTGCTTGTTTCTCCAGTAACCTTGTGCTTAATGTTCAGTTACAAAAAAACTCCATGCCGAGACAAAACGAATGATGATACCAAGTCTGAATGAAGCAGAAGTTTGAACACCAAAGAATACAAAACGAGACTAAGTTGCCCCTGAGAGAATCATTAAATCAATAGGTGATCAAGAAGTCTTCGTGAATCATGAATCTGGAGGAAAATTCTAGTAAGAATCATGAATCATTGAGGCAAAAACGACAGGAATCATGAATATAAAGATTCAAAGATTCCGCTTCGACCCCCGATTATTTGAAATCTCGGACTGCTGATCATTAAGCGTTTTCAAAACATTCAGCAATTACCGGCCATACAAAAACAGCGATTATTCAATATGCAGAAAAAGAGTTCAACGAAATGAAGTGCATTCAAACATGTGTACAAAGTGTATCAAATAAGAGCACTTACCTTAGTACTGAATACAGTTTATTTCGACAAGGTGACTGTGACGCTGTGTCATCGATTAAAAGATGCAAACGCTGGACAGTGACAGACAACTCCCAGGGCCCCATCGGTTTCATCAATCATGCGGAAGGAAGAAACGACGGGCTCTGGGAACGAGTCTTGTTGCTCCTGGGGCTCATAAATTGCCGCAGCGAGCTTCAAAAGTAAAATGTTATTCTAAGGTAATAGTCATGAATTTTTCTTCAAAATGACTAATAAGCAATCAAATCGTGAAGAAAGTTGTTCAGAATCATGTATCTCAGAATTTCATTTCATTTCTAGCCTCTGGCATTAACTCTGAATTCGCCCACACTTTTCATGGTTTTTTTCCAAGAGTTATTTCGGATTACATTATAAGGGAAAGGAGGGAAGGAAAGATGAAACTGCCTAAAAAGATTTATCAAAGAGGACACAACAAAGATAATTCAGCGCAAAGCAGATAGCATTCATTATTCACATAACGCCGAAAATGTAATCATAATGATCATAAGCAGAATTTATTCAGGTAAGGATCACTACCTAACTGGATCGCATCAAAGATTGTTCATAGTGGGATATTCAAAAGGACAAAAAGAAGGGAAAAGAAAGTGAGCAAAATAGTGAGGAAGAGGAGAACTGCAAAGAAATTTTTGCATGGATGAGACCCTTATGTAACATAGATAAATGCAGTACCCAAAAGCCCAGCGAATGAATGATACTCTGAGAAAAACAATACGTTCAAGTCTCTCGATCCGCACTTGCTCCTCAATAAACCGTCGGCCAAGTTTAAGTTTATTCAAAGAATAAACAACGGCAACACCCTTTATGTTGATAGGCTCGTTCCCACAGTAAATGGAGATACCCACCTCAGACGCCATACACGTGCACTGCAGGAGATCATGCGTCAGACATAAACTGTTTTCATGAAGAGTAAACAAGTCCTGTGAGTTGGAAACAAAACATCAGTACTGTGACAATTGTTGGTGAATGTATTGGGTGGGGGGAGGGGGGCTTAAGTAACCACGACGACGGGATATATGAGCAAAACAACAGCTGTTCACACTCATCCGCCACGCTTTTTGGTACATTTCCTTGACTACAACTGAACGACTTCGACGTGAAAAATCACGAGGGAACGTTTTATAGAGGACGTGATAGAACATACGACGACAAATTTTCTTTTCTCTTTTTGAACTTAAATAGAGTCCGTACGAGGTCAATTCCAGGAAATTTAACCATGGCCATGTTTGAAAAAAAAGATTTTATACGTAAGCACAAAGGGGGCACTTCCTTATGAAGCATAATAAACAGTAACATAACGAAGTACCGCACACACAAGATGGAACCAACTTATATGACATAATTAATAAGAGACGACAGAAAAGTACTGCTCGCTAACAAGGTAATGTTCTGTGGCTCTAACAACAGGACGCATTAGGATTTTATCCTGACAGACGATACCCTGGGTACCAGAGGTTTTTCTCGCGCGTGCGGCGGGAATTTTCGGTGTCGGCCGAACGCCGACACATCTTCGGCCGTAGGCCGAAGCCACGAGCGGGTCACTACAAAGACTTGACAGAAACCGGAAACTGCGCTAGAAAAGTCTCTGGCACCCAGGATAGACAGACGACACAAATGTTAGAAATAGCCAATCGGATTGGATGCTCACCTTTAACTCGTTCCGTGAGAATTCAACCTTCACCGTCTCCTTGGCATCGGCTACTGTTCCGCTCAGACCTTGCTTAGCAGTTTGACGTTGGTAAATCTTCTCTTCAATGGTTCCCTACAAAAGCAACGTATGTTCCATGTCATCGAGTGACGAACAGTAGGCCATTTGCACTAAGAGGTCATGGGACATCATTTTTATGAAATGAAAGCTATATGATTTTGCTATCAAAAAACCATTAGTGGGTCATATCTTAAATAAAATAATAGTGATTTAGTTTTTCAAACCTGCACCATTTTTTTAAAATGAGTAAGTTCGTAGCTGGTCACGTGACCAAAATGTGATATTTAAAATTATGAATTACCTCTTTCTGAAGAGAAATTTTGCACTTAAACTTCAAGGAAATTGTTGAAAAGATGATGTGGTAACATTCTCAGCACATCTGAACCTAACTACCAAACGTTTAACAAGATAGAAGCAAAAAGTAGTTTTAGCCAACATGCTGAAGGGCAAGAGTATGCCCTCCAACATGGCAGCCAATACAAATCATACTACTTTGTTGAGAAATCAAAGTGCTCTAAAATATCCCCCTTAAATGCATTTCCTCTAAAATTTCGGGTGTAAGATAATTTTTATGCGCTCTGTCAATTTTTGGCATCAGCAAGATTCCAACTCATTGTTTAAAGGAAGCATTGGTCACGTGACCTCTTAGTGCAAGTAGCCTACTCCAAAAGACTGGGGCTCAAAGCAAAATATAAAGACCTGAAGGAAGCCTTAAACACGGAACATTACAAAAAATAATAACCAAAGGCAAAAAAAAAAGGCCATGGAAATGCATACAGTCGAATCTCAACATCGGCAACGGCTACTTAAGTCAGCGCAGCAGTCCTTAACCTCCCCTCCTTTCATTGAAGTGAACTATTTACAAACTGAGTTACTCGCTGTTCTCTTGTACATTTGTGTTGTTAACATTCATGTTGGAACATTTGGTTTCTGTTTTATTGATATTCTTTGATGGTGCTCCATATTATTTTGCAAATCATTGTCAGAATTATAAGTTTTGCTGTATTTCTATCTTGTCCAACACGAAAAACGTCTCAGTGTGAATCAGCCCTTCTCAATTTTCAAAATGGCCTGTTCCAGGCATCGAGGTAGTGGAGAGTGCCGCAAAAAGCTGAGCGGAGGGGAAAAGCGGCACCCCCTCGTTGTTTTTCCCGCTCACTTTTCTCTGTACCGCCCCGGCCAACTATCTGAACGACTGGAACAGGCTAAGGTTAAATTTGTATTTTAATTTGTCATCAGAAATTCCAAAGCAATCACCGTTGTTAAAAGACGATAAATGTACACTGTCTTCTTCTGTCCATCTCTCCACACTCTTGCCATGGCCTGCAGTGATCGAGAAAAAATCAACACACACACAGCGTCACTTAAATTATCCGAGATAAACCGTAAGTAATCGCGCGATTAACGCGCTTCTCAATCAACTAGCGCATTACTGAGGCTTTAAGTAAGCTCTCGGCCATATCGTGGGGCGAGCGAAAACGCATGTGTCGCTCGTACTTGACTTCTTACGACGTCACCCAAATGGAAAGCTTTCTCGCGGGCTGTTTGCGCTTTAGCAATTTTCCTAGCCTGTGTACAGTCGCCCCCTCCCCTCAAACACAATCAGGAAGAGAAATTTTGTTTGAGGGGAGGGGGCGGCTGTACACAGGCTTACATTAATGACCCGCGGAAAGAGACAACTCAACCAACAATCACGGATAAGTCCCAATTTTCATATTGCTAACGAACTATCGAGAAACAAATAGAACCAATGTAAAGAGTTCAAGTACTGCTGACGAAGTGGTCTCATTTGCATGATCACACCATAGGTTCATTCACAGACTCAAACAGTACAAATGAAAGTAGTAAGTAAGAGATTTCATCAGTGAATAGCCAAGGATCATATTGTTCTTACTGAGTGAAAGACTTCAGAGCGAGTCTACAGTCGCACTTCAAATCCTGGTAATGACTCTTGGAAAGACAAAACTTTGTTGTGACCGATATTGTAACAAGAGATGATAATATCCTCTCTTGATTGTAATCAATGTACACGGCGGTGTAGAATTGTTGGGCATAAAAATTAGTGGGCCCAGTTGTTCGAAGGCCCATTAGCACTAACCCAGGGTTAAATGTTAACCTGGGTTTCTTTTTCTTTTGTTCAAAAGCAATTCACCCGATAATTTTCTCGATTCTTTTTAGAGTATCCAATCATCAAATTGTAGGGAAAAAGAATAAAACTGAATTTTTTTTAAAGCTTTCATCTCTGAAGGTTCAAATTTCGCACTAACCCTGGGTTATCTTAAACCTGCTTTGAACAACCCGGCCCCCAGGGTTCCAATTATCGGGCCTTTACGCTGCCTCTCTGTCGGTATTGTTGTACGAGGGGGACATTGGGAGGTACCAAATACCGCAATACCGTAAGAAAAATTGGCAAATACCGAAATACTGTGTCGAAAATAGACGAAATACCGACACCGCATTTATGATTGGTCAAGCTTACTTAAAGTTGTATTCATCCCGCGTGTCTGTTTATTGCAAGCATGTATGCACCATAAATCAACCTCAGCCATTGCGAGATAACGTGAGAAGACCTAGATGTTATCGATGCAACGATCGAAAAGCCCGGTCATTGGATGCAACAACGATTCCATTGTAGATTAACTGTCACAAATTGTGTAAAGTAAAGTTTTCCGAATATTGACCTGCATTAGACAGGAGAACGCAAATGAACGGTACCGCAATACCGTGAAGGTGAAGGATCTTCTTTCACCGAATACCGTTAGCCAGAAGCATAAGAAACTGCATGCCACAGGGCTAGATGATACCGCAATACCGCACATTAAAATCAAAATTACCGACATACCGTTTGAAAAAAATGCACAATACAGTAAACCCCCGTGTCCCCCTCTTGTACTTTTTGGCACTTTTATGGAGTAACAATTACAGCCAAATAGATTGGCCACTCACACAACAGACAAGACTTTCGTGGTCAGTGTTTTAAACATTACTAACAAAGTTCTACGACAGAATTAAGCACAATACAATACAATAGGCGAGCTCTGGACATGCAAATTCATTCTAAATACATGTATGTTAATGGCTTAGCACCCCTTTATCTTAGCTCGCGCTTTCACTATTGAAAGGGACACTGGAAACGGTCTTAAAGAAATTATAATTGCCGTTTGTAAACCCAATCACCAAAGGAACTGCATACAGTTCTCTTACAGATCAAAAGCGACCTATCGTTAATGTAAATGGGTTTTGACGTTTAGTCCGTAATTTTTTCTAGATAATCATTGCAACAATTTTATAAAACAGTTTTGTACCAGGATCTTTATGGTTTGATTAGTTGATTATTTTACTTTACTGTCACACATGTTGTATTCAGAGATATACCAGCATTATCTTGCTACTAATTACAAATTAAAATAAAGTTCCTACCAACTTACACAATGAGATTTCATCTACTGACAGGGGTGCAAGCTAAATAAATAGTACCATATGGAGGTTTCATTTGAATGGTAACACTGTAGGATTTTATCCACAGCGTTAAAGGCTAGAACTACATCCTAAATAAAAACAACCATATGTAACAGTAATGTTGAAGAGGGTTCGTTTGACTTGTCACATCACAGGGTCTGTGTATCCACAGACTATAAAGTTTTCATTGTGTGTGGCTTTGTGTTGATGTTTCAGTCTATTTGAGTTGGGACAGTTGGGTCCTCCCTGATCAAACTACTGAGTTCCGTTGCGTCTAGACTCACGTTGCCATCAGCCGCCAAAGATGTGCCACAGCATGAGCGACACAAAATCCTCATAACCAAGCTAACCAGCAAAAGACTGCACAGAATTGTGAAGAGCAGTGCTAAGATGTGCCACGTAAAGGCGATGGCAACAAATGCTCGATTGGAAGCGGTGTCTGTCCAGGGGTCTGTTCCGTACAAGACGTGTGCCACTTGAATAAACCAGGTACCCAGAAGCACGACCAAGACTGTGCGCGCCATAAACAAAATGAAACACTTGCGATACCCGGCTTCGAGCAGAAAAACGATAGATATAGAAAAGGCTAAAATGTAAATAAATATATGGAGGTTTTGATCCAGAACAGAGCGCCCATCGATGTGAAAGAAAAACAGTTCGCCGACGACGAAGAACGCCAGCGAAGATAGAAGGTGTTCCGCCGATGGAGGCAGGAACAAAAGCGAGTAGAAACGTAGAATTTCCACTAAAGCAGCAAGGAAAAAGACAGCGAACATTGAAGCATGAGCAAAATTGTTCAAGTGCGCAAAATGGTTGTTTCTGTTTATCAAACTCCAGTCACCCTTGGTTAATTCAGCGATAATTCCCACCGAAGTAGCTGTAACTTTCAAAAAAGGCTCTAATGGAAAAGCCCTGAGGTACGGCACGGGAACTTTAAGCCAAGTACATGTTTGGTAGTCTAATTGAAATTCAATGTTTGGTCTTCGCGAGTCACGACTTTTCAGAAATCTTGCATGTGCTTTTGCGATCAAGACCATTATATTGCACCACCACCACAAACCAAAGGCTATAAAGAAACAGCCTGGAAGAACATGGCCCGCGAAAGTTCCCATTTTACCTGTATCCGCAGGCTACTCTGTTGTCTCTGTTGTTTGCATGAAATTAATTCAGTTCTTTAGCTGAGTAGCCTCCCACGCGGACGTTCTCAGGAAGGCGTGACGAAGTCCTTAGATCGGTCAGTTCGGTTCAAAATGCAAAAAAAAAAAACAAACAAACTTACCTGTTGTTATTGGTATCAAAACTGATTTTAAACTAAAGAATCTATGTCAAATTAATGGTTCAACGTCCATAAATTGTTTGTTAAATAAGTTGCGCTCCATCTCACTTTTAAAACTAATCAGCAAAAAATTGTTTCTCTTTCCCGAATGAGCTTTTCTACGCGTGACCGCCCGTGCAAGGCTTGGGTGCATGACTTTGTCTTAGATTGTAAACTCTTTGTTTAACTTATTCGTTTACAGCTTCCGATTTCCACGACTTTGTCTTAGAATATAAACTCTTTGTTTAACTTATTCCGATTTCCCTAGAGCGGCGTAAATAATCATCGTAAACGTTCGTATAATGTGATTTCTGACGTTCGTTATAAACACAGCGAAATAACGCGAATTATTTCTACCACATGAAAAACAGAGAGGTCACGAGCGAGAACCAAGACATGAAGGATGCATGATGAGTATCACGTCGCGTATGAGAGTCTTCACTTACGCGGCCAGCAAAGTGACGGAAACGAAATTTGATTGCGGGTTAATAGGATAGCTGATGTAGTGATTGCATAATTTATTGCATGTGTGTATAGGTGTTTATAGTCCATGTGTGTATGTATGCTTGATAATTATTGTAATAAAAATAAATAAAAATAGCCAGTTTGGAGCTTGGACCTACTTCCCTATACCCACATTTCCTCTCCCCTCTTCCCGTGGGTTTTTTTCGCACAGGTTTCCCGTGTTATTTGTCAGTTTGACTGTCAAGTGAAATGCTTGATATGTTATCGAAAAGTGGAAAGAACAGAAATTTCTCAGAGTAAAAATAATATAAATAACACGGAATGTTCAGCTATGATTTAGTTATCGTTCTTCATACCTGAATGTCATTGGCTGGATTCCAGTCAATATCAAACAGTATAAGCTTCGATGCACCAATGAGATTTAAGCCAACTCCGCCAGCTTTCGAACTCAAAAGAAATACAACTAAAAATAACAAAGAAAAAAGTTATATTAGCGGAAATGTTCTGCGCTATCACAGTCTCATTGTAAGAGATTTTCCGCTTGTGGGAAACGCATGTCTCCGGGTCTATTGAGAATTCCTTTTCCCTGTACCCTGGATGCCAGAGACTTTTCATAAGCAGTTTCCGGTTCCGGTCAAGTTTTTATAGTTGTGGGCTCGGTCTTCAGCCGAAGATTTGTCGGCTTGCGGCCGACCGAGCGCGAGAAAAACCTCAGCCATTTAAAGTAAAGGATATGGAAGAAGTGTACACAGTGCCTACTCCCGACGGAGAACTGGATACACAGCAACACTAGAGATTTGCCTAGGTGATCGTTTAAAACTGCTTAATATTTTAAGGCCCTTTTCTCATTATCATGTACAGAAGCTAGAGGTGGTCCCGAGGGTCTCCCGCTTAGAGACACTTCAGTGTATACATGCATAGCATGTAGACAGCGAGCTGTCGTCCTTTTTTCTTCACAGGCACGCGCGGGCCGAGCGAAAAAGTATAGCTAGAAGGAGGAGTGATTGGGGTGGAGAGAGAAAAAATTATTATTTTTTCTTCGCTCGGGCTTCCCCCACATTCTTCGCGCCTTCGCCGCTCACCCCTCACATGTGATCTTGATCTACTGTTACTCAAAAGAGGTGGTTCCAAGGATGTATGGCGTAATGGCAGTTGTACATCTATAAAGTGAAAGCTCAAGCTGATCCCGCGGGTGCCTCGCTACAGCACAGACAGTTTACTGAAGGCATGAATAGCAGACGTGATCTCGAGGGTGTCCCGCTTAACTAGGGTTCACTGTATACACTTTATATTAGACAGCTAGCGGAGCTCCAAGCTGCGACCATTTTGATCTCCTCGGCGACTAACAAAATAGGCGACTAAAATTGTGGCGCAAGTTGCCAATTTGGCGACCTGCCTTCAACAGTCATAACCCAAGCCGTAGTGTATTCATAATTGTTTATAGTCTTTCTAAAGGTTAAGTGAGATAAACACTTTTTTGAAATATTAATCATGCATTTATTTTCTTTATAATTTGTCTCTTGAGATGTCGTGTGTACCTCCAAATTCGATAGGCCACTTCCGAGTTCCAAAAACCCTCATTTTCAAAATGAGGCCAAGCGCACCACCTTTCTTGTGAAAATGAGTTTAACTAGGCTCGATTACCAGCCGCTGTTCGGGAAAATGAGCCCGCACTCATCGAGCCTAGAGTTTAACTTGCATGAGAATGAAAGATCATTTCCATATAAAAGGCTGAGCACTTAACCACGTTTTGATGCAGAGGCCCGGGGAACTCTGAAATGGTCTATTTCCACGGTTTTTTTACGTCTGGGAACAGCTTTTTTTTTTACGTCTGCATGGCGACCATTTATAAATTTAGCTTGTCTAAAGGTGACTTTAAAAAAAACTTGAACTTAAAGCACTGGGTAAAATAGAACTAATCCTGAGGGTGTTAAGCGTACGAAGATATCACTGTGACTATCACTGTACGAAGTACACTTACAGATTTTGCAGTGCTTGTCGTTGAACCTGTCAACCAGCGACTGTCGTTTGCTTGTCGGTGTTTTCCCGTCCAGTCTCAAAAACTCATAACCTCTTTGTTCGCAAAGTCTTTGAAGTAAATCAAGAGTCTGTGAGACAGATCAGTACGAGTTTTAAGGAGTCACATTTGAACTGCTTATCCCACAGCAACCGGTACAGGATAAGGTCTTAAATTAATATATGCATGAAGTCAAGCCTTTAACCCCCAGAGGCAATTTGTGAAGACATGAAATGTGGCCATTCAAGTGAAAACTCTTTAGCAGTACGTTCACATGTTATTCGGTAAGTAGTACTAACTTTTAAGTCTGTGGATGAAATCTTATGGTGTAAACATTCACATGAAAGGATCAAATCGTTTAGCAGTACTTTCACATGATGCTATTTATTCTGCCCTTAGTACTAACTTTTGAGTCTGTGGATGAAATCCTTTGATGTTACCTTTCAAATGAAACCTCTTTAGCAGTATTCACATGGTACTGTTTATTTGGTAAGTAGTACTAACTTTTGAGTCTGTGGATGAAATCGTATGGTGTTACCATTCTTGACAATGAAGCCCTTTAGCAGTACTTTCACATGGTACCATTTATTCGGTAAGTAATACGAACTTGAGTCTGTGGATGAAACCCTAGGGTGTTACAATTCAAATGAAAACTCTTAAGCAGTACTTTCACATGGTACCATCTATTCGGTGTGGTTTTAACTTCTGGTATCCAATAAACTGGCAGCATGGTAACATTTGGTATTACCTAAAGGTGCGCATTTAAAACACCTCACCTGGGTATAATTTGATACAAGAACTACTCTATCTCCTGAGCGATGCATGTGAGCCAGTAAGTGTGCAAGAACTTGAAGCTTCCCTGAATGGTCCGTGGTGAAGGTACCGGGATTATAATCTGCTGGAAAAGAACGGTCTAGCCCTTCATACAGGGAAGCTTCCTGTTGATAAAGGGACAAATAGTATGGTGATTAGCCAGACAAAAATAAGAATGATAGAGAGATTTTTCTTTGAAAAGCTTTCATTCTAGGTACTCCTCGATTCTTTTAGTCAGCCCCTAATGCGCATGCGCAGGTTTTCCCGCAAAAAAAGATCTCGCATAATCAAAGACCCTCGTTTGATGCAATGCAGGAACCACTCAAACCTTTTAAAAGCGAGTGAAATCGTTAGAACAAAAAAGCCCCCAACTCTTCAAGAAACGGATTTAACTTAATGGGAATGAGGCATCCCTCCTTGAGAGAAAAGCTGAGAAAGATATTTGAACAGGGCCCTAAATGCCCGTTTTAGAGACTGAGGTGACTGCTTGCAAGAGTCGTAAGAAGTAACTGAAGAAAAAAGGGACCAACTTTAGGTGCCCGTACATAAAGGTGTCAGTAAAGAAAGAGTTGACCTCATCGTGAGTTAAGCGAGGAGTGGTTAGCGGTAGTTTTGAATACCAAAGTAAGTTACCTCCTCAATATCCCAGCTGTTTGACACCTCATTTGCCTCTTGGCAGTCCGAGTAAATGAGACTTGGATCATTGCAAAGCTTCTTTAGCGCACCAATGCACAATAAGTGACGTGAACCTTCGGATGAATATGACGTCAGACATGACCTCACAACGCGTGACGTCAGTAGATGACGGTACAGAGAAAGCTGCAAAAGACTGGGTCGACAGAATACAACGGATTCCACTGCAAATGAGGGCAAAAACAAAAATTGACGCTAACCTATTTAATTACGCCTCACACTGTCGGTCAACGAGTCTGGTATAAATACAGGATGTGCTGTGCGACCTGCGAGCAAGTTCTCCTTATTTGGGAGAGCAAAGCGAGCCTTGCGAGAATGCGCGAAAGAGAGGCGAAGCCGAGCCCCCGCTTTCGCGTCTTCTCTCGCGTGCCTCTCGCGCGTCCCCCAAATGGAGAGCTCGCTCGCAGGCTAGTATTTCACTAATTTCACAAAGACCATACGGCAGCTTGTTTACCGCCCAAAATGTTGCATAACCATTGTGTTCGACTTCTCTTGGGACGACTGTAATACCCGGGAGAGATTGGAAACAATGGTTATACAGGGGGGTAAACAAGGTGCATTATGGTCTATGTGAAAATGGTGAATTCGTCTGTGTATAGATACGGACAGGCATAAGTTCAGATAAATATTCCAGGCTTAAGTACATAAACGCGTATAATAGTCCAGATGGACGATTCGGCTGTTTGATCGCACCGATGTAGAGACGAAATACAAGATGACCACAAAAATAATTCTCTAGGTTTCTCTCGGACGGATCTTTCTTCTCTTCGACTCTAGTATAAATACAACCAATGTGAAACAAATTTTCGAAATGTCGAGAGTCTAAAGATCCATCCTTCCCCTGTATAACTATACCCTAATACCCTAAAGTAGTAAGTACCCTAATACTGGTAGATTGTTACTCTCTTAATTTTCCGACAAAGAAAACAAAAACAAGTACCTTTTGGAGGAAGGTAGCGACTATTCACTTCTGACGTCCTTCTCAAGAAAAACATACTTGTCAACCTGTTGAGCTGTGCATGAGAAAAACGGAAAGTAAAACAAAGAAAACAGGGAGCCTTACAAACAAATTCGTGTCTTGTTCGTAAAGGAATATGTAAAGATTACTTCTGTAGACCATATCACCATTTTACCTATTTCAGTATACCCAAACTTGGTGAAACATCACGATTAACTCTTCAAAATAGCCAACTCATCTACCGTTCAACGTTGAGAGATGCGACATTTACGGTTCCGGACTAAATCAGTTTTGGGTTGAATTGATCTCCTTTCTCGTCTAGCTCCACGCTTGGAACGTCTCATTTCTTGTAGCACTAGGTCTGCTACGAAACCCATTCTGTGACGCATCGGAAAAGAACAAAACGAAGGGCATGTACACACGAGCAACGCTAACGCAAGAAAACACGCGTGTGAGCTAACTCGACTTAAGCACCAAGTTTTTGAGTCGGCGCATACACTTGTCTTAAGGCTAACTGCGTTTGCATTTCAGTCGTGTGAACCGCGACAACGCAAACGCAAATACAAATGCACAATGAAAAACTGGATATTCCTTCGCCATGTAGGGATGCAGGATACTCAGATGCTGCGTGTATTTCACTGTGCTCGCATTTGCATTTATTTGCGTTGCACGTGTGAACATCTCTTGTGCTTTCCCTTGCTTTCTCTATTTGCGTCGCTCTAGTGAACCAGCCAGACAATTTGTTCGTTCAGACCAGGTAAATATCACAAAACCAGGTTTCTCTGCCGCGGCAGCTCTGACTTCATCCTTATCAAATTAAAAAGAAATCCCGGAAACAGTTTTAAGCATTATTAGTCTACCTCGGCAGCTCTTGTTTGGCCAAGTAGTTGTTCTTCACTAGTGGCGTCAGGTTGTTGTCCACGGACGATAGGCTCCTCATATAAACGACGAAAAGAAGACTGCGTGCCTGTAAACGGGAAAATGATAGAGGTAAGTCATTGTTTCTCCAACATAAGTAAGCGGCCTTCTTATACTTTTTGTCTATTTTGTATCCAAGAACTGCGTTAGACCAACGATGTTACTATTAGTTGTGTGGCAGGCATTCAAAAGGGAAGGAAGATGTAGGGTGCGGGCGAGTCATGTAGCAGTTCTCCTAACCCTAAAAGCCGATTGGTTTGCAACCCAAACCGTAAAACAATGGAAATAATGATAAACATTGTTGTGTTACTGCTTTCTGCAACCAATAAGGAGACACTGTACGAGCAGCTGGTGCAGGCCGCAGGCAAACGCGAAGGGCGTCACGGGCCCAAATCCCCTTTTTTCCTAGCCTACGTGGAGACGTCTCCTATTTCTCTTGTTTCACGCTGAAAACGTTTGTACTTAGCGTACCCTTTTCCTTTCCCACGGCCTTCGTAGTCCTGCCACGCAGGCTGCGCTAGCCGGATAATAGCAAGCAACATACGAAGACAAAATGACGTACCATAGTTAATTGAATACGCGCCGCCCCCGAATCAGCAACGCATTTGGAAGAAAAAAGTTAATAAGCGCCGCAGCCCTGATAATCAAAATATTTTATACAGAAAATAATAATACCGTAATTAATACAATTCTTTATCGCGTCCAACTTTGAGATAAATGCCGCCCTCGAATAAGCGCCGCACTTGAGGATTGAAAATTTTAATAAGCGCCCTGGCGCTTATTCGAGAAAATATGGTACTGATCATTGGACCTTTGTGGTGAGAAAAAAATCCTCCTAATAGTACTAAGAGTACGTTAATGCACCTGCGAGTGCGACAAGAAGGGAAGAAGAGGGGCCTTGGGAACAAGGTTACAATGCAGATGAGCGAAATAAAACTCACCTAGAATTCCTGGATTACACAGGTCAATGAGAGAATGAAACTCCTTGAGATCATTCTGTAAAGGTAAAGAAAGTATTGATTTGTTGGTAGATTTATTAGGGATGAAAGTAGCACCCAAAAACACAACACATAGAAGGAAGAAGCCTAAAGTATATAACAACTTACAGCAGTATTCGATAATTTTCCGCGTAGCTTTGTGAAAATGGGGTGATTAAGAACAACGACTGATAGGCGCGGTTTAGAATAAAAAGTGGATTGCGATGCGCTCAAGCATGTTTGCAATGTGGTTGAGCGCTTCTTTTGTCACACTGATCCATACGAAGTAAATAGGTTTAAAAATGGCTTTTATTTTCTGGCCGCTGCTCCATTCGTACGGCACTTTGTACGGTAAATAAGATAGCGTAAAATGTCTCACCTGTATTGGTGTGCCTGTGAGAAGAATCCTACGCTTGGTCTTTAGCCCAGAAATCATCTGTAAGATCAAAATAAACAAGCGTTATTGAGGTCAAAATGGCTGTTTATTGGCCAAGTTCTTCAGTTTTTTTTCTGCGTTTCGTCTCCGTCAACAAAAACGTACAAAAAAACGAAGCTAATTTTAAACATACAGTTATTTTGACTGAACAAGCTTCGTCAATAAAGAATTTATTATATGGCCAAAAAGATAACTTTTTCTTGCGGAACCAAGGCGGGATATCCCAAGCCCATCTTGCCTGCTCGGGTAGCCAATCAGAACACAGAATTCGCTTTTTCTCGCCCGCTAGCGGATTCAGCCATATAACAAATAGTTCTTTTTTCGAGAAAAAAAAAACACAAAATAACAACCACCACCACCTCCTTGATGTGGTCATAGAAAGCTTAAAGTACAAGGGACCAAACGAAACTACCGGATGGCAATGTTACTGAGATTTAGGTACGCGCAGTTTTGGAACCCTTAGCGTTTTAGCTGCTAAATCTACGTATAACCCACTTCTCACTATGAGATACCGCTAAAACAAACCAAGAAGCTCTCACCGTGGCGGTTTTTATTGTAGTGTTTTTCAAGCGATGCGCTTCATCGCAGATCACCAGTCCAAACTTGATGCTCCTAATCTCCTCCACAGACCTTAGAAACATCTCATAGCTGATGATCATGACTGGGTAAATAGGACTGTTGATAAACTCCTGCAAACATAACACTCCAGTTGAGAAAAAAACAAAAAAAACAAAAACGATGAAACAAAGCATTAGCCGAACGTTCTGGAAAGACTTTTTTGAAAAGTCTCATAGAACCAATTTTGTCCTCTCAAACTGCCGTCAAGTCCCCTTTATTTCCCATTTTAGAAACGATAAGGAGACTGGTGCCGAATTGGCCTAGCAACGGTTTCTGGGAAATTTTCTGGGATCCTTACTGGGGACAACTGGCGACGCGCCTATTGGCCAAGTTTTTTTCCTGTCCCTAGTGACAGTCCCAGAAGTCTTTGCGAAAGTAAACTCGGCCCAGTTTCCTTCCCGTCTCTAAAGTGGCGAATTACTTATCGAGTAAGGTCGCTCAACGACAGTTTTATCAATATTTTCACTGTTAGGAAAACCATGGATTCTAACTGAGCGCAATGCTGGTATTATCTTAGCCCCCCAGGGCATTGCAGACAATAGTGTGGAAGTCTCGGGGGAGTCCTTTTGCCTATTTAAGCCATCTATCCCGTGATTTCTGTGTCTTTTGCCAAGTAACGGCGTTCTTAGCCGGGTTATAACTTTTGACCCTCCCACCTCCCCTTCGGCGACGAGTATCCCCCTCTCCGTTCTCTGTAATACGACCCTCTGCCTTTGCAAAATCTCGCTTCCCTGCACAACATAGTTTCGCTTAGGCAGTAAGTGGTTGTTCTGAAAGGGAAAATGGTTTACTATATAGCTTTATTTTGTCAGTAACAAGAGTCACATCTTAGTGGAATGTGGTAAGGCGTCGAAGAAGACATTTGAAAATAATATGCGCACAAGACATGAGTAACGTTTAGTTGTTCATGGGTGGGCGGCCAGAATGTGTGTAAAAGTCTACTGGGTTCGTTTCCTTTCAGCTCGTGGTTAGTTCTCGTAACAAGATCAAGCCCAAAAATGACCATCTTTCGCGATTATTCCCAACCAACCTTAATGTTTCACCTATATATGTACGCCAGACACCAGCTAATTCTACAATTCTTGTCTTTTACAAAATGCTGACTTCATAGCTTTTTCGGTCACCGGGCTATTCGCTCAATGAAGAGGAATGTACTTTAAGTAAGGTAACTGAAGTATATCTTGGCAGCCGAATGGAACTTACTTTGACCCTTTTTTCTGAGGTAACCGTGTACACCTTCAATCTATCGTTGCCAAGCCACTTCCGGAATTCGCAGCTCCAGTTCTGAAAACAAGGGATTGAAGAAAACGTTGGGCAAAAGTTAGTCTGAAATGTCATACATCTCCACCTTCAGACTGGGCATAAGCAACAGCCGAGATTTGCAAGTGACGGCTAAGATTGGGATGTTAACGATTAGTTTGTGCGATGAAAGCAGCGCAAACTAGAAACACACCCACTTGACTAACTTAAAAACATATTTGACTAACATCAAGACGTACTTTACTGACTAATGGAGATACGACTAACCCATAGACTTACAGCAAGATAATTGGCATGCAAATATCGAAAACTACCAACGTAAATGCACAACTGACAGTGCTTTTTGGCCAAAACAATTTCTTTTTGTTTTCACTACATTCTGGTTAGTCTACTGACGTTTAGTTCCATCAGCCCAACCCATGAATGGATCTGAATTGGGCCAACGAAGACCATTAGAAAGATATACATCTATCTTGTTTTTGGTTTGTTTTGTTTGTTGTTGTTATTGCTGTTGTTGTTGTTTAAATACAAAAAGAACATATACTTTGACTAGGCTGCCTGGAGTGACGATAAGAGTTCTCTTGAGTGTGGGTTGACCTCCGTACATTCCCTGTTTATAAAGTGTCCTGCAGTGAGATACAAAGCATAATCGATTTGTGCCCCTGAGTTTTAAAACGAACAGGTCAAAAGAAAACTAAAGTTCGCGAGAGTTCAAAAACAATGTTCTCGCTTGATTTGAGTCTCACGCTATTGCGGCAACTCTAGTGATCTGCCGAAAACTCTCGTGCGCACTTTTTCTATAAAAAAGATCCTATATTTCTATCAAACTTAAGCAAGCCTCTTCCAACAGTTATATGAGGCAAAAATTGCATTCATAGCTAGCAAAAGCAGGATAGCACTCATCTAGCCCTGCACAGAAATGAAGTATGGGCTTTGCATAGAATAAGTAAGTTTCCATACGTTAAGCAACTTACCACAGCAAAGAGATGCACTGGAGAGTTTTTCCAAGTCCCATGTCGTCTCTAAACACAATAGGAGATAACACAACAGATTTTATACTAATCCGTAGGTGTATATTTGACTAAGGACAGGTAGGATGAAAGTAGTCTGCGTCGCAGACAGTCTCTATCAAGGTCTCGAGTGACAAGCAGTGGCGGATCCAGACCTTCAGATAAGGGGGGCGGGGGTCATCCATATCCTGAGATAAGGGGGGCGGGGGTCATCCAGACCCTGAGATAAGGGGGGCGGGGGTCATCCAGACCCTGAGATAAGGGGGGCGGGGGTCATCCAGACCCTGAGATAAGGGGGGGGGTCTCAAAAAAAATAGGGGAGACTGACCTCCTCCCCCCCCCCCCTCTGACCCCCCCCCCCCCCCCCCAACCCCCGCATCCGCCACTGACAAGTCCGACCGCTAGAAGAAAGAGGACTAAAACTATAGAAGTAGGACCGGGAAGTTAGCGTAGTTTACACGAATCCTTGGGAGAAAATTAAAGATACTACTTTTTTTTAAAACAAGCAGTAGCAAGTAATAGTATTGCCGGAATATAGTCAAATATTCACACAGATGTTATCCACTAACTCAATAGGTAGAACTGCATGACATTTCTCCAAGATGCTGATATGCAGATGGAAAGGATAAGGCCTATAAAAGACTTGTGAAAGAAAGGTCCTCTGAAATTATACTTTTATTGAACGATACTTACGCAAGAATGGCTCCATTTCCATTGAAATTCCGCAGCCCCATAACGCACTCATAAAGAAACACGACTCCTTCCCTCTGATGGGGCCTTAAGTGCTGTGACAAGTAAGGGTCCACTACCACGTCAACAATATCCAGCCCCTCTTGATTTATCTCCAACTGCGTACGTTTCAAATAACACTATTTTAGGGACTTTTATTGCAAGCAAAAAACTGTATTACATGCAGCAATCCCTGACTAAAGGGAGACAAAGTGTAACAATGTTGCTTACCGCTGATTTACGATGGACCGGAAGCAGTTCGGCCATAATATGAACACAGTTATGCACAGAATGTCGAATTTAGCAACCTATCACCGCTCCTCGTCGCTGAGAACGTTTCGCGAAACGTCCCAGCAAAGAGGAGCGTTCGGAGGTGGCTAAGAATGCCTACATTGTAAGCCACCGTTCAGCTGTTTTTTTTTTTTTTAACTTAAACCAAAACAACTGCAAAGACTTCCATACAAGTTGACTAGGGTCCGCATCAAAAACTTCAATCCCATTCATTAAAAGCTGACATTTTAAAAAGGGCAAGGGGCATAAAATGTCCTTTGGATTTTTGAGTAAGAAACTTAAACCAACGTCGATCAATTTGAATATCTATACTGTGTACGCGTACTGTGTACATGCTATCTTCTCGACTAAAAAGCCTCTACATCATACTAAAGTATCTTTCCCTACAAAAACTGTTTTGACCGAACATGGAACCGCCGCATGTACAAAAGGAAATTACCCGCCAAAAGGTAGTTGCGCTTGCCCTACACTTGGGGAACTTTAGCAAGGACTTGCCTAGTCCCTAGGCGTCGTTATTGCGCGCGGCCGATGCGTTTCGGGTCACGTGGAGCGAGCGAGTTTTTCGTCTCGGGTACGTCACCGAAATGCATTGACCGAGAAGGCCTAGAAAGACGCCGCACAGGAACTAGGCAAAGCAACGACTACGACGACGGCAACGAGAACGGCAAAACAGCAATGGGCCATTTTCGGGTTGCCCCAAGCCTCTGTTTCAAAGCGAGGCTAACTGCGAAGCCATTGACATGAAAATGACTTTTTGTTTGTCATGCACATAAAACTTATTTTCACAAGAAAGGCTGGGCACTTAGCCTCGATTTGGGAGTGTGAGATTTTGGAACTCGGAAAATGGCCTGTAGGTTTAGATTAGGAAAACAACAACTCTGCTTGTGCATTGGGAACGACGTTGTGTAAAAAGTACGTTCGGCAGATACCTGATGGGTAGCACTGGGTCGAGGCATCACAAGGGCACCAGGAGCGTTGACGTCATGGCGTGACGTAGAAATTTTTTTCGTTTCCATGACGACTCCGTTCTTCATATTGCAAACGAAGGGCTTCGGTAAACCTGCGCAGAAAACAGTAAGAACTGAATTTGAAAGTGGAAATGATCCTTGCAGTTAAATGAACAACTTTAGCGGTTCAAAAAGAACCTGAAAAAATCCAGACGTTTCCTTAACAACCAGTAACGTTTTAGTCATGCGTGACACAACTTACAGAACCGGTTTGCGCGATAACAACCGTGGGTTCAGAAATTTCCAGCGTGCAGTCTTAACAAGGCACGCGCATTCCACATTAAACGAACCCAGTTTTGAAAACCAGTACGTTTTGTCCACCAATGTGGTCGGCTGCTACGTGTGAGAACGCGTCGGGGGCCGGTAGAGCCGGTCTCTTTCTTTCCTTTCCTTCTTCTCTTGCTATGAGCGACCTCTGCAAGCAGGGTATAAAGACCTCAGTTTCGCAACTTAACTAACACTGAGTTAGGTACTATTGAAAAACTTTTGATATCGCCTGTCCACAGGCTTTTCTCACTCCTGGTTGAATCCTTACAAATACGCCAAACGTTTTTCAGCTCTGAGAAAAAGGTCAACATAAGAATAAGGTCTAAAGCGGCGAAGAAAAACAATTCCTATCCCTGAGACCTTATCTCACACAAATCAAGGCTCGAAAAGGTAAAATTCCACAGGGTGGTAAAGAGGATCAATCTACAATCTTGGAAAAAATAAATGGAAAACCTATAACCCCCGACACCCCCCCCCCAAACATACCCCAAGCAAAACTCTCGCATATAAGAGGTGGAAAAAGGAAATTACAATAGCAGCAAATACTACAGAACACTCATGGCTATGTCATCTGGAAAAAATAAATGGAAAACCTAGACCCCCCCCTCCCCCCCCCCCCAAATCAAAGATGGGAAAATGGCGCGTTTTTGCCCTTCGCGCGGCTTCATCCTTGATTTGGGGGGCATGGGGGTTTGCTGTTCCATTTTATTTTGTCCAAGATTGTAGGCTTCTGGGAAATTGCCCACCTACCCCTCCCCTAAGCCAACATTATCACTTACTTCTCACTCAGGGCAAAATGTTGGCTTAGGGGAGGGGTAGGTGGGAAGTTTCCCAGAGACCTAAATTGGTCCGGTAAAGATTCAGTGGGATGAAGTCTCTTCACAGAAGCGCCCAAGAACTGCTCACTGAACTGAAAAGCTGCGACAATCTTTTTTCGTTGAGCTCTCGCAGACGAGCATGCGTAGATTCGTGAGATACCCCCTTTCACCGTGAAATTTCGACAAATTGCCTCTTATTTGACTTACCGTAAATCCTCTAGTTAGCCCCCAACATGACAAATAAGCCCCCTCTCTCTAATAAGCCCCCCCGCCCCCCTTTCAGGGGAAGAAAGTTAATAAGCCCTCCTCCCTGATAGACTGTATTAATTCATCACGAATGTAAAACTCGATGTGGACTGAAGACCCGGGATGGTTTATTCACCAACTGGAAGTTTGGAATTTTTTTTATCCTCGGCTTCGTGACCTCCAACTTCTTGTACTTGAGCTTTTCCACTTTGTATTTTAGTTCTTTATGGAGAGCTGATACTAACGCCTTTGCTAAATTAAGTATGTCCCCATCTCTATTAAGCATCCCCCTCCCCCCCGCTCCTCAAATGTGTTTGAAATAATCAGTCCCCGGCGGGACTTAATAGAGGATTTACGGTAATTCCGTTAAGAATCAGCAGACAGGCCCTTAGCAGTTTACTTCAGCTTAAATTTCTCCTCAAAGAACTTGTTGTGTCAGGTGCCCTTTGTGGGATAACTCGTCATAAAAAAATCTTTTTCGCAAATTTCAAAAACAACTGGCAGTGGTTATACGCTTATCAGGGGAAATTTTACAACGAAAGTCGAGAAATACAAATTGGCTTGTTCAAGCAACCGTTTAAAAATGTTCCCGTGATGGATTATATAACATTTTGAATTATGAAAATTAAAACAATTTATGTAAACGTTGAAAATGACAACCCATTAAAATGAGGTGTCTGTTCAATTAATATTGAATGTTACGAGATTATTAATCGAAGGAAAGTGTTTCTTTGTATCCAAATACATATTGGTTAAGCATACTTTCCCTAGGAACGAACACTCTCATATGGCCCTAAAAACAGGATTTGCTTGTGAACGGTTGTCACTGAACCCAAGAAGGCATAGGAAATTTGAGATGAAAGTGCTTGTTGACCTAAAGCGCAAGCAAAAGATGATAGGTGTTCTCGGTTGTCAAGTTAATGATAGCTTCAGGTCTCCCCGCCGGAAGCGTTTCAGCTCTACTCACGCATTGTATTCACAAACTTTCACTTTCACACGCAGTGATGGCCAATTCGAACTGCGCACCGAAGAGTCCCACTCCAGAGGAATTCAACCTGACAGCCATTTTAAAAGCGGGTGTACCCGGAGGATTTTGGCCAACCGAAGGAATCGTTGTTGCTGTTGCTAGAGGAAAGGACAGCAAAATTCTGTCACGGAAGGTTTTCCAGAGCTCTGCGACCAACGCATTCATGAAATCCATCATAGACCTTGAAGAAAGTCCGCTGTTGGGCTTGAAGGAATTGCAGTTACTGAGTAACTTTTCGCCTGGTAGCGATTGTGCTGAAAAATTGTGCGAGTGGCTCGCGCAAAACGAGGAAGTGTGCGTGTCGATCCGCTTCGCGCATCTTCAGAATATCCACGTTAGCGTGCACAAGGTGGCTGAAAACAACGCGGAGGGGTTAAGGAAGTTGGTAGAGAAAGGAGTAAAAATAAAAGCACTTTCGGATTACGACTGGCTTCAGCTTTTGATGATCGACCGTGGATTTGCAGCGAAGGATGAGTGGATCGCGAAAAGGAAACAAGTAGATGAAAAAAATCAGAAAGATTTGGAGGAAATTTTACAGTCAACCGATCTGGGCGAGACACTGAAACATATGCGAATATACTGAACACAAAATGAACGGTCTCAGCGCAAGAAGCATTAGCACGAATCAAAATTTCAAATTTCAAATTAAATTTCTAGTTTTGTAGGAGATTGCGATTTAGAGCAGGCAGAAGCCAGGTACGGACAACTGATGTAGCAGACTGGTTTTAGCCTGAAATGTCACTTTGAGAGAGGTCAGTATCCATCCCTTTTAAAATATTTCGTGTCGCGTGACCTGCAAAAAGGTATCATTTTCAGACGCTTGACGATGCGCTATTTTAGGCGATTCACAACTGAGAGCGGTCGTTCTTTTTTTCCTTAGATCAGTAAAATTATAATTAAGCCCCCGATTCGTCTCGTTTCGGAATTAAATTCCCTTTGTGAAAAAAAGGGGAAAAAGAGTCTTCCATATAGTAATTGTTCTTGATTTCCCTCACACTGACAGGATTATCGGTTAATCTAATAAAGGCTTTAAAATTATGTTGACTTTGTGCATTTTATCGGTTAGAATGTTTACTCATAAGCGGACCACCATAGGACGTGTTCACACGTGCCTTTAATAATATTTGTTTAGCTTCGCCGTAAATCGGCTTACCGCGATCCCATAGCATAGCCTTGCACCTGCTGGAAGACGTCTCCTATTTCCTTTGTTGCTCGAGATAAAAGGAAATACACCGCCTAGATTCAATATCCCATACCCCATATTATGATTTGAGTACCGTCTTTCACGGGTCCCAGGGGTCCCCCCATCTTCGGGAACCTGCATTCAAGCGTGATACACATCCCCTTCCCCCGAGAGCTTTCTCGCACTCATTTATGGAAACTCGGTGGCAGACTTTGGACAAGAAAAGTGTGGCATGGTCGTAACGGCTGAGTGACAGGGTCGAGGAAAACGCTGATGAGTTTTTTACAATTAAGCAAATAAGCTTTATGGAGCACAACATATCCCTAAAAAGCCACTGAGGTCTTTGCTCTCCGTTTAAAAAATAATTACAATTTCAAATCTCGTTCAACGCTCTTAGTAACCTCCTCCGGCCCCAGAACTTTTGCCTTAAAAAAAAAAACGCCCCTCCAATTTACTAAGGGAAAAGCCCTGTGGACGAGGCTGTAAAATCCCGAAACCTGGAAATCCAATAAGCCAAATTCCTCATTTTGAGAAACCTACTGGAATCTTATGGAACATCTCTGACTCTCTCAAACTATTTCTACGAAATGTGTCCTTGCATGCAACAAAGGAAACAAGAGAGGACTGCATTCAAAACATCGCATGACAAGGTCCAGGGATAAATCATATGGGTTTAATAGTTTGGTGTGTGCATAACAGCAGTGCAACCACAAAATCTTTATTAAATATTCCAGTTTGATCCTTTGCTGCTACTTTAAGCAGAGAAGGTTACCAGTGTTAAACTTTTGATTTGGATTCGGCAGGTGCCTTAAAAATACGTTAAAAAATTATCTTGAAAAGTTAACTTGCTTACTTTCAGTTAACGCATGGAACTCGCTACCTGAGGCAATAGGATGGGCGTCCTGTGTTAGGACTTTAGGCTACATGATAATAGTATGCAATGTCTGTGACAATAGTATGGGCTGCCTGTTATAATAGCATGGGCTACCGGTGATAGTAGTATAGGTTGCCTAATATGGGTTGCTTGTGTTCTTAAAAGAAGGCACTTCCCTCTTACCTTTTTGTTTAGAAGGCAGCCTAGAGGGTGGCTTTGGAATAGATGGTGATGGTTGTACTGATTGTTGAAAACATTTCCCACTGAGATAATCCTCTGCTTGGATACTTCCCATCACCTACAGATAAAGCACAGAGAAAGGAGGATGTGATATATAAAAAATATATGTAACTTATTTTGATGTCTCCCGTTATCTTAACCTGCATTGCAGATATTTTCTCTGGGTGTGCAATGTTTTTGCTTGCATAAAGACCATTATTTCAAGATTTGGCCCAAGTCAATGAGGTAGGGGAGGGGGTGGGGGGCAGAAACAAAGGAAAAAGAAGGGGTTTGCACACAGGCTATTTTTAACACTTGAAAAATATACCGTAAGACCTTAAGATATTTTCTGCAAATTGTTAAATGAGGTTAAATAAATATTTATTTAACAGAGTGAACAACAAGGAGCGCGAGCATGGTCAGCGGTCAGTCGTTTGGCTCAAGCGCGGTCAGCCTTGCTTGCATCACCTCCCTGTGCTCTGTTCAGTGTTTTCGTGGCGGCCATTCTCTTAGTTTAGCCTTTGGATCATTCTTTTACCCCCATCCCTCCCCTCCACTTAATTTTCCACTGTTAAATCAGTGTGACGGGGGCCTGGTTCCATTGGCGTGGGGGCTCAAGGCTGGAGGGCGCGGGTTTGCCAGCCATGGGGGCATAACTTTTTCTACGGGCTGGCCGTGCCAAAGGTGGAAGCCCCTGGACATCCTGGGCACCCACCTCCACTCAGCGACGCAGTTGTTAATAATTTATGAAACAATTTGACTGGTAAAGGAAACATTTATTTTGCCAGTTCAGATCAAAACAACTACAATAAAATGATTAAGATATCACATTATACCTCCATTTCCTTTCCACCAATGCACAGAGTGTTACCTTCCTGAAGGGCCTCCAGTTCAGAAGACTTGTATCCACTACTCTTGGCAATTCTAAAATGATTGAAATTAATTATTTATATAAACACCAATGAAATACCAGGTGAGCTTTTGCGCAAAAACATGATATCTTCACACGTGAAAATAACATGTTATCTTCACACGTGAAAAGATCACCATTGCCAAGACTACATGATAAATCATGCTTTTCACAGCAAAAAGCTATTAAAGTGAAAGGGTTTGGTATTTCACTGGTATTTATATAATAAATGAACATTACATGGTCACTTGGAGATACAAAATTTCTCTTCTTGTGTTGAAAAATATTCACTTGTTTGCTGCGCTCACTCGTGACATATTATTCACCACTCAAAGGGAAATATTTATGTTAGTTATTTGAAACTGTTGCAGTAGCTCTCAGTCAAGGCTAAAGAGTGGGACTACAGTATGTTGAGGGACAAGAAAATTGACATTTAAAAATATTGAGGGATTTCTTTGCTTTGGCCTTGACTGTTCAAAAATTCTCAAAAGATACAGAGGAGATTCCATTGCTGGAGATGAAGTACTGATTTATCCTGAACTCACTCTTTTCCCTCTAGATCCTTCAAAGAAGCTGTTCTTCCCTTTGTAATCAGTATACCTAACAAAAATCAAGGGCAAATTAAAATGAAACAAGAATGAAAAGGTGTAATGTAATCAAAAATTATACCTGGGCTCAGTTGTTCAAAGCAGGATTAATATAACCCAGGATTGGTGCAAAAATTGAATTCACAATCTGAATGCTTACAAAGAAAATTCCTGGAAATTATCTTTGTTGTTATCTGGAAATGACTTGTTTAAATTGACAGGGAAAATGTTTATTAACGAAAGAAAAAGGAACCTGAATTAAAATTTAACCCCAATAATAAATTGGCCTTTGAACAACTGGGTCCAGGGGGTGGGTGTGCAGGGAGAGAGAATAATTTTGTGCGGTGTGCAGGTGTGACTACTTAAAGCTCCTGTAAATCCAGTCCAAGCCCTAATCTTAACACTTCCAGCTGCACCTGCACCTTTAAATTAAAACCAGCACGGTGGGGGTGGGGATTGACAGGGGATACTGTATGTACACTGCTCTTTTCTAACAGTTCTTCTCCTCGTTCTTTCTTTACCTATCACACTTAAAATTAACTGCACCATACATACCATCTCCTTCCCACTTTTTATGCTATAAAAGAAAAACAACAAAAATAATTATTAATTTACTAATACTAACAGTTGAAAAAAAATTTTACAAAAATGACCAATTCTGGCCTTAGTTCTTCAAAAGGTGGATTATGCTATCTATCTACTGGATAAACCTCTATCTATCAAATGGCATAATTGGTTTCCCCTTATACCTAATTATCCGCTGCCAGGATATGTGGTTTATCGGGGGATAGCGCTATCCAGCACTGGAACAACAGAAGCCTGATGGTCTGTTTTAATAGTTAACTAAATAAAAATTCTGAATCAGTGTGATGAAAGGTGTGTTGTTGGTCAAAATTAAATTAGGCATAAAATGGCTTCCACCTACGTCGATTATCAGTTTCCTTTGTTTCCTAACCCGAATTATTCATGATCATGAATAATTAGGGTTAAGATAATGTTTTGACGTATTATCTTGTAAATTAATTTTATTATTGTCATTGAAAAGCCCTCTTTCAGGAGCATCATTAAAGTTTGTATTGTATGAAACAATTTTAACCTCAATTTCATTTTGACGTACAACTGATACAACACGCATACACTTTACCTTTTTCTTTGACATCTTTCCCCTGAGATACAATTAAACAACAAAGAAATATGTTTTAGCAATTTTACATATTCCATTAGCATAGCTTACTTCAAGCAGTCCTGGTCTGTCTGCTAAGTAAGTAAGTCACTCTGGCAGAGAACACAGTGCAGGAAGCCTTGATATAAAAATAAATGTGATAATGCAACTGAATGGATGTTGATAATATTGACAGTGTAATGGGAAGGGACTGAGTCAACTGCTGAGTTGCTACTATTAGATAAAAGGCTAATACACAGCTTGCAAGGAACAGCCTACATGTAGAAGCACCCTTCCCCCTCCTTTGTTGGGGGGGAGGGTGTGGCTACACGTAGGCTAGCAAGGAAACACGTGTCCAATAGCCTGGGGCTAGTGGATTTTGCTGCCAGGCTAGTGAAGTTTTTAGGAAATTCAAATCACAAAGAAGCTAAAATTCAATGCTGCTCATCAACAAATTCTATCGATCTTTGGGGCTGGGTAAAATGACTTTTGAGCTAGTACATGCTAGCTACAGCTTGCACGAATGGCAAGCTGTAAAACTGACTTTCTTTGCACCCTGAATACAGCCAGCTGATCAGACTGAGAGAGGAATTTGTCGAGAACAAGTTTGTTCACTCTAGAATAAAATCATTCATCATTTTGAGTAATTCAAACAAAAATGGTAACTATAAGAAATATGGCAGGATGAAGACCAAAACTGTACAATGTAAATATAATATTATTCTCAAACATTTATTGCATCAAACAACTAAACAAGAAGAACACAAGCATATTCCAAGGTGCTCATGTTTGCATCACACCAGTAAGCTTTCTTGCTTATGCTTATGCTTGGCCATGGGTCAAACATGTAGACTAGCCTTAACTTATATACTAGAACAAGAGGAGTAATTTCCTGGTCTTGCCCTGCCCAATTATTTATAATATTTTAAGATATGTATTGTACCTACCAAACAACATTAAAGTATAAACACGCATTTTCTTTTTCATCAGAGGAGTCTACATCAAAGGATTAAAGGAAAATAAATTTCAAGTGAGAAGAAATTCTAGAATGCAAACACATAAATATACATATAACTAAAACAGTCTGACAACAGAAGGAGCTCACCTATAGAGGACATTTGTTGTAGTGGAGACTTGAAGTGTGCTGTTTTAGTAATCTTTGGAACAGTAAAAGTCAGACTTTCATCTTTGTTAACAGCTAATTCTTTGCTAACATCTTCTTCTACAAAACTTGTCGGTATTGTGTTACTTTTAAAAACTTCTACTTTGTTTCCACTGTCTGATGGACTCACAGGCACGTTACAATGTGAATAGCTCTCCTAGAAAGAAAAACAAGAAGCAGCTTTCTTTGATTGTTTACCATTTACAAAAAGGTTTTGGATAATCCAGGTGGAAAGTAAAGGAAACACTACTTTTTGGGTCATTCCAGCCGCAAAATTTCTGGGAGCCACAGAACGTCTCAAAAGGCAGTCCTTTTTTTCCAGGTGGAATATTCCAAACGCAGATTTGTGTTCCATTTCTTCAAACCCATCTTTGATACCAGGTTCAGACTTTCATGGCCTTCTTTTGGTAAATGGAACTGATTAGTGCAAAAGGTAATTATACAATTCTGGGAAGAAATTTACCACCATTGAATTTTGCTTACCATTTATCCAAACCGTGAACTGACCAGTTTGCCCGTGTAAAATGGTAAACAACCTTTACCTCTATAATGCAAGATTATACAATGTATGCTGATGATATATTGAGTAAATAACATAATATGCAGAGACAGGCCTCACTGGCAATGTTTGATAGGTCACAATATACACCACCTATCCATAAGCTGGTCATCTGCCTGTTTGTTTCAATGCCTTTTCCCCCTCTGTTTTCCATTTTGTGCAACTTTCCAGTTTTTGAATGCCTGCAACAGGCCTAGTTGTCTACAAAAAGAGCCCCCAGTTCTGTTAAGGACCTCCCCTCCCCAACCCACCCATATATTAATTACCCCCTCATACCTTTTCAAATCCTGATTTACTTGATAATTTATAGAATAGGGTACCCTGCGAGCAGAGGTTTCTCTTTTGCATGGTTTTTAGCGTTTACAAAGTCATTCGTGTGGCTTGTCTGTCCCGTAGTTGGTTTGTTTTAGAAAACAAACTAACTATGCGACAGACAAGCCATGCGAACTGCTTCGTAAACGCTAAAAGCCATGCAAGAGAGAAACCTCTGCTTGCAGAGTAGGGATAGGGCCACACTATAATTATTAAGCTAATGTACAGAGAGTCCAGAGATAACAAAAGAAATATTGCAGTGAGGAAATGACACAGAAACTTGGTTTAATCAACTCACAGCTCTACTTCAATTTTTCAATCTTTTTAAGATGGAAAATTGACCATTTCATAGTTGATACAACCACAATTTTTTTGCACAAATAACTCTTCTAATTAATCATAATCATTGAATGGACAAATTTATTTGAATAACATTGAAAAAACCTTTTGCTTGTGACTGTACTGTGAAAAATGATTTGTCGCATTCTCTCTCCTTAAATGATGAAAAAGGAGAGAAAAACTCCTTAAAATAAGCTTAATTATTGGGCAAGATTATGCTGGCCGTCTCAGAATACTGTATGTAAATTATATCTCTCCAGGTAATTTCAAACCGGTCAGTGTAAAACGCAGACTGCAGACTATTGTTTTCACCATCCAAATGAGAACTTGACAAAAATAGTCCTATTGTTTTCTAACCCTAAAAACAATAGTCCGCAGTCAGTCCGCAGTCTGCATTTTACACTGCCCCATTTTTTTCCAAACCAAAGCAAAATGGAGGATTCCCATGCACTTCGATCAAATGTATCAGTTGCCCGTCTTAAGCCCAAAGCAAAGGCTTACGCATAAACGCTGTTTAAATGAGCAAATCTCCTGAATCGCCCCACATCAAATGCAAGAGCCTTCTGCTCGTCTCACCTGACATGAAGTGGCGTGCAAACCTGCGAGTGAATTCTTTGAGTTTTCATCTTTGTTTAAATGGTTTCCAGCGAGAAATGGAGTGATAAATTTCATTTTCTTAGAAGCTCTAGCCGAAGGGGCTGCGGAGCGACGCATGGTGTTGGGAAAAACAGACAGAATTCACGGAGCAAAAACTTGCAACTCGAACTTTCGCGCCAATGTGAGGTAGCCTCGCTTTGAGGAGAAACCGGGGCCAGGTTTTAAAGTTTATTCAGGCTTCGTTCTACAAATATGGTAAACTTCTGATAAAAAAAACGAAGTTTGTACCCAGAAAAATATGAAAACTTCTTCGTTTACTGGAAATTAGCAAAAATAGTCAAAACTTTTCACCTTGACTGAATTATTTATTTTCTCATTTTTTGAGAGTAGTGCCAAGCTGCCGGGCCTCTTTTATGATGGTAAATTCCCGTGATGCTCTAGGGTGGTGTGGTGGCCAAGCGCATATCAAAGCTGTCTTCGAGGCGGAAATTCTGCAGAGCTTGTGAAGATAAATTGTGCTTTTTTGTTGAGAAAAACTTTGGAATACGTTTCGAAAACCTCAGGAAAAAATCGAAAGGTTACCAGTGGATCAAAGTGTGAGTAAATTTGGGATGGATGGGTAGTTTTAGTGCATTAATTTTGTGGATGCGATCAATGCTGTTGTTCGTTATGAAAAACCAAAATGGCGGCAATGTCGCGCATGCTCTGCCTTGTATGAAATTGACCGAAAATGGCATTTCCTCTTGCAGGATGCTTTGGACGTTTCCTTCACAGGATAGGAATATTATGTCAAACAAGCACCTTGTGGAGTTGAAGTGATGCGGCGAAACAGCGAATCGTCGCAATATCACGATGAAACTCCTCGCAGAAGAGTTCGCAGGACGCCTTCTCATGACTTGGAAAGACATCATAGCAATGATATTAAAGTGGCCAGGTCGTTGGATGGTGTAGAAAATGTGCCGACCTCGCCTTACTCGCAAGCCTCATTTCAATATCTAGGACCTCATGGAGCCAGTTCGACTCCAAGTCCGACTCGATCGGTGCAACCTGTTAGCCCTCATAGAAGCGTGAGCTACCATGGATTCCAGCGTAGTTTTAGTCAGCCTGTGGGGTCAACAGGAGAAATGTCTCCCTGTTCCCCATTTCCTCACCCAGTTGTTTCGCCATCACATTACCAGTCTTCTTCACCAATGCATGTGTCCCCAGCTCTGTCTCCTTCAGCTCTCCCTTCCACGCCTTCATGCGCAACACCTAGTAGTGTAACATACACGCTTTCTCGTGGTCCAGGCTCAATGAGTCCCAGAGGCTCAAGTTTAAAAACTCCTGAATTTTATGCAGGGATGCCAGATGCATCTCAGTTAAGTCCTGCGGATCCGAACTTTACAGTTCCTTATTCATCTGAACCTTTCTCTAATCCCAGGGATCAGTTTGTTTACAGTGGGGGAAGTCCCTCTCAAGGCGGCACCATTCATCATCTCGGGTACAACACATCTCACAGGACACAGTCATTACAGAATCCAGCACTATTTACAAATCAGTTGTCACCTGGTCGAAATCAACCCACAGGAAATGCTTTGAATCCTCATGGTTCAGTCAGTGTTAGCAGAAATCATGGTGTAGCAAACAGGGGAGATAAATCTCCCGGATTCCCTGTATCATCTGATTTACTTGAAACAGGAAAGTTACGACAGCTTGTAATTGGATATTATAATGGAGAAATTGAAACCTTAAAGGCAAATTATCGTGAGAAGCTACAAGAGTTGTTTTTTCTTCAAAGTGGAGGCAATATGATGGATTTCTTAATATGGAAAAAGAGGCCAAGTCCACAATTTTTACAGTTTCTCAACTCAAATCGCTTGGATGATACATCTGGTATGAATCCTTCACTTACTGCAATGACTGTGTCGCCATCTTCTAGGTTACCACAAAGTTTTATGTGGCCTCAGCAACAAGCAGATGCTAGCAATGCTGGTGTTACAGACTTGACTGCATTGCAAAGACAAGTTCATGAACAAGCTGGTCTTGATCCTCGAAAATCAGTGCCAGGCAATTTCAATGCAAATTCTAATTATAACCCCCAAATTTCTGATGGAATTGCACCTAATGTTTCTCCATTTACTGGAAACCAACCTCTTTCAAGAACAAATGTAGTCAGCAACCCTCCTCCATTTTCTAGGTCAATGTCATTACCAAATCCTCCTCTAGAAATGCATGTTCCGTCTGGCCATGGGACCAATCATTTCGAAAGTAATCATGCAGCAGTAGGCACAGTGGCCAAAAGCCATGTGTCTGGTGTCAGTGCAGTTCAATCTGGAGTGCCAAATCAGGCAATATCTAATGGACCTACTGTGCATCCTCATGGAGCGAGAAGCACCAGAGGACAATCGTTATCCTCCATGCTTGAACAGTCTTTCAGCAGTACAGAGGATATTGCCGTAGAAGCAAAGAAAGAGGCAGAAGTACTCAAAAGAGTTTCTGAACTGCGTAAGGAAGGTCTCTGGTCTTTGACCCGTCTCCCTAAAGTCAAGGAATCAGATAGGTGTAAAGCACACTGGGACTATCTCCTTGAAGAGATGACCTGGTTAGCAACTGACTTTGTGCAGGAAAG